GTGGGAGAAGGTGAGGGTGGAGGGCAAGGGACGGGGAGGAGGAGGAGGGAAGGGATAGGGTGTCAGGTGAGGGGAAGGAAAAGGAGGTGGATGGGAGGTGAGGGAAGGGTTGGGGGAGGGAGAGGAGAAGGGGAGGAGGAAGGAGAGGGGAGAAGGGATAGGTTGGGAGGGGGAGGAGGGCAGGAGGTAGAGAGAGGGGGAGGGGTGGGGAGGAGAGTGGGAGGAAGATGTGTGAGGGTGGAAGAGGTGGAGGGGAGGAGAAGAAGAGGGAGGGAGAGGGGAAAGGAGGTGGAGGGGAGGAGGGAAAGGGGTGGGAGAAGGGGGGATGGAAGGGACGGGAGAGGGAGGGAAGGATAGGTGGAGGGAGGGAGGGATGGGAAGGAGGGGTGTGAGGGAGGAAGGGAAGGGGGGAGGAAGAGTGAGAGGAGAGAGAGGAGGAGGGAGGATGATGGAAGGGGGAAGGGCTCAGCTCGCCTGGGTGTGTTGGTAATCTGACCCTGGGATTGATTGGTGTGTGTGGTGTGTGTGTGTGTGTGTGTGTGGTGACGAAGTTGTATCTTTAAAATCGAGCGTCCTGTGGCTTCCTGCCTGTAATCATTTCCCTATTTCACCGTACCCGGCTTTTCTTTCCTTTTCTTTGAGACAGGGTCTCGGTCTGGCACCCATGCAGGAGTGCAGCGGTGCAATCAGGGCTCACCGTAGCCTCCAACACCTGGGCTCAAGCCATGCTCTTGCCTCAACCTCCCTCATAGCCAGGATTACAGATGTACACCACCCACCCTGCTAATTTTTGTATTTTTAGTAGAGACGGGGTTTCACCACGTTGGCCAGGCTGCTCTCAAACTCCTGTACTCAAGCGATCCACCCGCCTCGGCCTCCCAGAGTGCTGGGATTGTAGGCGTGAGCCACTGCAGCTGGCCTGAGCTTTTCTTGAAAGCACATCACAGACCAGCCTGGCCAACATGGGGAAACCCTGTGTCTACCAAAAAAATAAATAAAAACATTAGCTGGGCATGGTGGTGGGTGCCTGTCATCCCAGCTACTTAGGAGGCTGAGACAGGGAGAATCGCTTGAACCCGGGAGGCAGAGGTCGCCGTGAGCCAAGATCACACCACCGCACTCCAGCCTGGGTGACAGAGCGAGACTCTGTCTCAAAAAACAATCACCAAAAAAGCATATGACAGGCTAACTTTCTAAGCCTGGGATTCTTGCTGTCTGCGAAACGATGAGACTCTTGGATGAGTGTACAATTGTGCGGTCAGCACTCTGTGATGGACTCTGCACCCAAGCTGGCCTGGACATCCAGACACTTCACAGCTCATCTGTCTTTGGACAAACACAGGGTTCACCTTCGCCGCTGACCAGCTTCCCAGACCAAGGGACTCAGATTATAGCCATTGTCCTCGTAACACCATAAACGCTGGACGGTAGCACGCTGGATAGTAGCTGGGATTAGAGGCACCTGCCACCACCTGGCTAATTTTTTGTTTTTCTGTTTTTTTGTTTGTTTGTTTGTTTTTGAGACAGAGTCTCGCTCCGTCGCCCCAGCGGAGTGGCAGTGGCACCAATCTCGGCTCACTGCACGCTCCCGCTCCCGGGTTCCGCCATTTCCTTGCCTCAGCCTCCCTGAGTAGGCTGGGACACTACAGGCCACCCAGTCCAGCACCCAAGTTTAAGACTGTTAGAGGGCCTGGGGCACCAAGAGGATCATCTGAGGTCGGAAGTTCGAGACCAGGCCTGGCCACCACGGTGAACACCCGTCTCTCTAAAAATACAAAAAATACCAGCGCCGAGGTGGCGGGCGCCTGTAGTCCCAGCTACTCAGGAGGCTGAGGCAGGAGAATGGCGTGAACCCGGGAGGTGGAGGTTGCAGTGAGCCGAGATCGCACCACTACACTCCAGCCTGGGCGACAGAGTGAGACTCCATCTGAAAAAACTAGAAAAATTAGCCAGGTGTGGTGGCAGGTGCCTGCAATCCCAGCTACTCGGGAGGCTGAGGCAGGAGAATCGCTTGAACCCAGGAGGCGGAGGTTACCGTGAGCCGAGATCGCGCCGCTGCATTCCAGCCTGGTGACAGAGCCAGACTCGGTCTCAAACAAACAAACAAAGGAAAAGGAACCATCTTTGCCCAGGGCCCTCCACAACTTCCTCTCCTACAGGTGTCAGACGTGGCTTCATTCAATACTCACTCAAGATACAGTTCTAGAGGGTCTGATATCTCCCAGGCACTGGGGAGGTGACAATAATATGACCTGGCTCCGAGAGACAAAGCGACAATAGGCATAAAAGATTGAACGTTGTTCGGATCTCAGGACCCAATCAATGTCCACTGTGACTGCTGGACGATAGATGCTCTTATATCCAAAGCAGGCAAGTCTGCAGAGAGAGAGAGAAAGTAGGTTGGCCTAAAAACAGACAGGACTCTCTGCCCTCATGAAGAATGCGTTCTGTAGGAGGAGAGGAAGCTGAAATAAGTATGTATGCCCTGGACACGGTCATGGTGAGCACTGGGAAAAAGAGAAGTGGCCGGGCACAGTGGTTCACGCCTGTAATCCCAAGACTTTGGAAGGACGAGGTGAGTGGGTCACCTGAGATCAGGAGTTCAATACTGCCTGGACAATATAGTGAAACCCCATCTCTGCTATAAATACAAAAAAAAAAAAAAAAAAAATTAGCCAGGTGTGGTGGCAGGTGCCTGTAATCCCAGCTACTCAGGAGGCTGAGGCAGGAGGATCACTTGAACCCAGGAGGTGGAGCTTGCAGTGAGCTGAGATCCCGCCCCTGTACTCCAGCCTGGGTGACAGAGTGAGACTCCCTCTCAAAAAAAAAAAAAAGAAAAGAAAAGAAAAGAAAAGAAGCCGGGCGCGGTGGCTCACACCTGTAATCCCAGCACTTTGGGAGACCGAGGCAGGTGGATCACAAGGTCAGGAGTTTGAGACCAGCCTGGTCAATATGGTGAAGCCCCATCTCTATAAAAATACAAAAATAAGCTGGGCACAGTGGCAGGTGCCTGTTATCCCAGCTACTGGAGAGGCTGAGGCAGGAGAATCACTTGAACTCGGGAGGTGGAGGTTGCAGTGAGCCAAGATCATGTGACTGCACCTCTAACTGGGTGACAGAGTGAGACACCATCTCAAAAAAAAAAAAAGAAAAGAAAAAATAGAAAAGGAAAAGGGAAGTGGAGGGGGAGGAAGGGCAGAGGCAGAACTGTTCATTTCTGTGGTCAGGAAGATTTTTGGATTGGGGACCTTTAGGCGTAAAGGAAGAAGTCCCCAAAGCCAGCCTTGGCCTCTCCCTTACCCAGGGGTTCTCGATCTCTGCCCTAGTGATATTTTAGCTGGATAATTCTTGGTTGTGTGGGCCGTGCTATGCATCATAAGATGCTGAGCAGTATCTATGACGTCCAACCACTAAATGTCAGTAGCATCTCCCAGCTCTTGCTGTGACAACCAAAAATTCCACTGAGGTTGCCAAGTGTTCCTTGGGGGACGAAATCACTCCTGATTGTAAATCACTGTCTTTCATAGATAGATAGATAGATAGATAGATAGATAGATAGGTGGCTCATGCCTGTAATCCCAGCACTTTGGGAGGCCAAGGTTGGCGGATCACAAGGTCAAGAGATCGAGACCATCCTGGCCAGCACGGTGAAACCCTGTCTCTACTAAAAGTACAAAAATTAGTTTGGCATTGTGGTGTGCGCCTGTAATCCCAGCTATTTGGGAGGCTGAGGCAGGAGAATCACTTGAACCCAGGAGGCGGAGGTTGCTGTGAGCTGAGATCATGCCACTGCACTCTAGCCTGAGTGACAGAGTGAAACTGCATCTCAAAAAATAGATAGATAGATAGATAGATAGTGGATTGATAGATAAATCGATAGATGATAGATAGATACATAGATAGATAATGGATTGATAGATGAATAGATAGATGACTTGAACCCAGGAGGCGGAGGTTGCTGTGAGCTGAGATCATGCCACTGCACTCTAGCCTGAGTGACAGAGTGAAACTGCATCTCAAAAAATAGATAGATAGATAGATAGATAGATAGATAGATAGATAGATAGATAGATAATACACATGATAGATAGACACATAGATAGATAGATAGATAGATAGATAGATAGATAGATAGATAGATAGCTGAACAGATGGATAAATTGTTACAGAGATGATAGATACATAGACAGATAGAAAGGTAGAAGAATAGATGAATAGAAAGATAAATGGATAGATAATAGATACATAGAAAGAAGAATGGCGGGGTAGATAGATGAATGAATGGATAAATAGA